AGCAAAACTGAAACACCAACACACAATGGTGACATGCTTATAAATGGTACTAAGTTTTCACCGCGTACCATTCAGCACCAGATTCATCCCCAGATTCATCCCCAGATTCGCGTTTTGTATAATATGGGTCTAATAACAGCATGAGAGGTGTCAAAATGACAATAATTCGAGAGAATATGTAGCAATATGCGGTTTTCCGTCAATTTCTACTAGATAAATGTCACTTTTCTACCACTTTGTTTCCAATGTTGCTTGTTGGCCTAGGCAGTACTTTTCATCCCCAGATTCGCGGCCACAGGGATACCAAACGACCACAGGGATACCATTGCCAATTTGTTAAGTCCGTTGCTGTTCACTTTGTTTCTTAATGCTGTGTCTACCGGTGTCAGATTGGGTGATGGAAATATCTGCACCCTTTTATATGCTGATGACTCAGTTTTATTAGCTAATTCTGCTGATGATCTGCAATCCCAGTTGAACGAGCTAAACCAGTTCTGCTTGTCCATTAATATGGAGATAAATACTTCCAAAACCAAGATAATGGTTATAAGAAAAAACAAGAAAAGATCTAAGGCATGCAAAATTTGGAAATTTGGTGATAAAGAGATCAAAGAATGCAATGAGTACAAATACCTTGGAGCTACTATTAACCACAATGAGATGGCGCTAGTGAGAAACACGAGCATAAAAGGCAAGCACAGAGATTGCAGCAAAAATTGTCTTCTTAAAGATATTCACAATATTTGATAACTCTTTTATGGCCATTAGAAACTCAAACTCAAAACGCTCTTCAGTATCAAATTTTAATTACAAGAATAAATTCTATGTATGCTTTATGTTAATTAAGAAAAATAATACAATTTCGAAAAACATTGTAATTTTGTAACTGGAAACAAAAATGAAACTCTCAATTGGTTTAATTCTATAGCGATAGCAAATATCGCAAGATAAATATCGGGGAGAAAATGAAAATAGTGAGAACAGGAAAAAATAAACAAAAAATAAGATATTTATGTTAGTGATAAAAAAGAGATGGATTAACATACGATATATCTTATTGTATTTGTATTGTATTGTATTGTATTGTATTGTATTGTATTGTATTGTATTGTATTGTATTGTATTGTATTGTATTGTAGATTATTTAACGTTAGTTTTTACAATAGTGAATATACACTAATTAAAACTAACATGAAGCAATTTCAAGGATTGCATAAGGCAGTTCATTTACTGCAAAATGAGCATGCGCACTTGTTTTCAAAGAACCAAGTTTTGATCAGATTCTTGATGTGTCTAGTACTTTGTGCTGTCTTTATTGATTCCGGGAGTGAATTCCAGATTTTAGGCCCTTGAAAACTTAATGATCTGATACCATTATTGGCAGTTCTGGCTTTTGGAATGTCAAGGGGGTTTTTGAGTCGGAGGTTATGACCTGTTGTTTTGGGTACAAAATAGTCTTTCATGAAAACAGGATTGAGGTTGTTAAGTTTTTTATAAACTTCGAGCGCTAAAATCCTAACTGATTGGACATGTATGGTGTACGAAGATTAATAGTCCGAATATGCTAGTCTTAATGCCCTCTCGTTAATTTTCTCTAGCTTATCCTGACTTCCTTTACTACATAGCATCCATATCAATGGACAATAATTGAAGTGACATAGTATAAATGAGTTCATAATCATCTTTTTTTCTCTGTCGCCCATAAATCTTGCCACTCTTTTTAAAGATCTTATCGATATGTGAATCAAACTTTAAATTTTCATCGATCTGAACACCAAGCAAAGTAACGTTTTTCTCTGTTTTAATTGCAATTTCTTGGTCAATTTCAAACTCATTTATGCATTTATCCTTGCTGTCGATTGTGATAGCTTGAAATTTAGAGGGATATGCAATCATTTCATTAGATTTAAACCAATCAAGACATTTTTGGTGTTAATATTTACAAGTTGCAATAGTTCATCAGTATTTGTTGCAGTGACAGATATCGTGTTGCTATCAGCAAAATTATATAAAGACCCTTCAGTAAGGCTGTAAAAAATATTATTTAGGAAAATGTTGAAAAGTAGAGGTCCAAGTATTGATCCCTGTGGCACTCCTTGTCCAAGTTCACCCCAGGAGCTGTAATGACCTTTCACTTTGACTATTTGCTTTCTATTAGACAGGTAGTTTTGTATAAGTAAAAGAGAAATTCTATCTACACCATAGGCATGTAGTTTTGCGAAAAATGTGGGTTTTTTGGTAGACAGTCAAAGGCTTTTGACAAATCCATAAGGACAGCGCCAATATGTTTGTTCCTTTCCAGTTCTGTTTTCCAGTCTTCAATAAGTCTTAAAATTATCAAGATCAATAAGTGGCATAAAGTTTTTCAAACTTTAACACCGTCAAATGCAAAGATTTTTCTCAAAAGTGAAAGAATTGAAATTGGCCAATAATTTTTATGCTGCAACCTTGATTTAAGTTTATATATAAGCGAGGATACTGCAAATTTTTCACTTATCAGGGAATATAACTCTCGAGAACAACCGATCGCTAATACTAACAATGATTTCGATATAGTTCGATGAACTGGCTTTCCTAATAGATTGGGAGGAAATTATCGAAATGTTTAATTTACCTTCATGGTTCATGTCAAAGCACGCCACTTTGATATTCCGCTCCTTCAGCTTAGCAGTTCTATTTTTGACTTATCCTTCTAGGCCTAAGATCAGAATACATTAATTTAAAAATGACGCGTCAAAATGTATCGGAACTCAAGTACTTGGGAGAAGCAAGGAAACTAAACGTAGGAAGTAAGATAAGATTAATGAATGCGATGGTGACAAGCCATCCTTCTTTATGGTTGTGAAAGTTGGACAGTCACGGACAAGATCTGAAGAAAGAAGGAAGCATTCGAGATGAAATGCTATAGGTTAAAGCTTGGCATCACATGAAAGGAGCGCAAAACGAATATGTCTCGGGACTGGTGGAGGCTGTCTGTGGTGGGCAACGACCGGAGAGACTGATACAAATGGTGCAGAGAAGGATCCTTACAATTTTCGAACACCAATCAAGACGAGATGGATGGACAAGGCTATGGTGGCCCAACGTTATCATTAAAAATTCAAATGTATTATCGAAAAAATTACTTTTAATTAATAGTTTTTATTTGCAAAGTTTTCCATAGACATTGTTTTTTAATTACGAGAAATAATTTTTGAAATAACTTTTAAAATTTTTAAAAACCAACTTCGAAAATTTTTTTCGAAATTTTTGATTGCTTTGAAATCGTCTGACTTTGAAAATCGCTTTTGAAAAAAAAGTTGAGGTCAGCCCAGTGTTATCACAGTATACCATCATGCTTTGCGTCACCGGTGGTGAGGCCATTCCATTTTTTGCGCGAAATTCCTTGAGGCCTGCCAGGTTTACATTTAATTCAACTTTGAGCATCTTGGCCACAGAAATACCACCCAAAAGAGGACAGTTGTTATGGGACGAGTTCCAGGCGAAAATGAGCGGGAAGCGGACCAACACAGATGCACATAATAAGCAAAGAAACAAAGGGTCTGCACCTCATGAAATTGTGGTCCAAAAACTTTCATCTGAGGCAGACAGCCGACAAACATACCGTCCCATTCAACCCAGAGAGTTTGTTGAATTTGCCTATGAAGATCTGACGCTGACAAATTTGAAAGACGCATGTGCTACCCATTTAATTTTCCAGCAGCCTCATGCGATGTTCTTGTTTCAAACAAGGGGCCTTCATGTACAAACATTTCACAGATCCCACATAGAAAGGCTGATGATGATCGTAAACTGCTCGAATTACAAAATCTTCGATTTATTCTTCGAAGTTTCCCAAAAAATTTGAATTTGCTTCAGTCATCAGCTAGATATATCCTTCTCCTGTTTGAATAGAATTTAATTCAATGAAGTACTTATATGCAGGGGTGTAGTGCTAGGGGGTTCAGGGGGGAGAGAGGTGATTTTTCTGAGGGGACCAGAACAATTCGTCGAATTACAAAAAGCTCTGATTATCGGGATCTCAAAGGAACTCGAAACTTGTTCCGTGTTAAAAAAATGACCAATGTTCCCGTTGAAAAATAAAAAAAATGTTTCCTTCCTCCTTTAAACAAGTGATAAAGTTCCCATGTTCCTAGAGGAAAATTGTTGTTGTTCCCGTGTTTCTATACCAATGTACAATTTGTTGCCATGTTCCCTTGTTTCCAAAACCCCTTGGAGACCCTAGCAAAAGTTCGAATACAGCCTCACGGTGACGCAAAGCATGATGGTATACTGTGATAACACTGGGCCGACCTCAACTTTTTTTTTCAAAAACGATTTTCAAAGTCAGACGATTTCAAAGCAATCCAAAATTTCGAAAACAATTTTCGAAGTTGGTTTTTAAAAATTTTAAAAGTTATTTCAAAAAATATTTCTCGTAATTAAAAAATAATGTCTATGAAAAACTTTGCAAATAAAAACTATTAATTAAAAAGTAATTTTTTCGATAATACATTTGAATTTTTAATGATAACGTTGGGCCACCATACAAGGCAGCTTATCCAGGGAAAGTGTGAGGGTAGCAGGTACCAAGGAAGACCAATGCACGTCTGACAGGACAACATCACCGAATGGACCGGACTCGGCGGACAGGCATGCTATCACCTCACAGCAAACAGGGAACGATGGCGAGCGAGCGTCAGGCAATGGGTGCACCAACGGCCTAGCAGGCTACGGACTTACTGATGCTCCTCGTTTAGCACTCGCAATTAATATATTAGGGCATTTAGAAAGCAGGAGATTGGGAAACCATCTAACAACCAAAGCTAGAGAACTGCTTATTGAACTAAAGAAATATCTTTTCGATCAGTTTTCCAAATTAAAATGAATGTTTATTCGGAGTTTTTGCTCTGCTTGATCTTTGGAGAACTTTCTTTTATGTTTATCTTTGAAAAGAATTCGAAATTCAATTCTCCAGGATTCCTATTTTTCCATTTTATTTCCATTTTATAGTCCCTTTTAATTATCAAATAATTACAAGAAGTTTGGGTAGCAAACCTTGTGATTGCCTTATTTTTGTAACGTCTGCCTAGTAATAAGTAGTAAATCCTTGTTGAGGTATCATTCTTTCACTTCCGAAACGAACAGTTTAAAATCCATCTTGCGTTCTTTTGCTCTTGGCCCATCTTGTGATCGCTAACTTAAAAGTTACAACGCCTAATCACGTTGGTTTCCTCATGTAAAAATTTATGCAGTCTGAACATATCATAGGGATTAGTATAGCGGAAATCGGCACGTGTTATAAGTTGCAAAAAAGATTGTACAATGTGAATGCAGCCTTTGTGTTTGATTTGGGCTGTAAATGCAGTCTTTTTTGTGATGGACCAATTCAATATACCAGTTTTTGTGCCGAGTCTTGGTTTAATATATATATATTATTTTTTAGGGAGGGGGGGGGGGGGTTGGATTTTGTTGCGGCTAAGCCTTTTTCTATATTTTCCCTATATACCTTTTGTTTACTGTATCTACTTTTGGAATAGATGTAAATACAAAAAGAAATTTGGTAATTACAAAGTTTAAAGTAAAAAGTTGTAATCAAATTAGATTGTTAGTAAGAGGGGGAAATTTCTTATATTTGACACCTATACATTGCGTCTGGCAGATTTCTAGCTACATTGCCGAGAGATATCTTGACCCACAAATATATAACCTTTTCAGCCTGCCGGATGTGTGTTAAGAATTGGCAAAAGAATTCTAAATATGAGGCTCATAGAAAAAGTTGCAGCAAACAGTAAAATAAAGAAGTATTGATAAAGAGTACTTGACAAACGACTTATATGATCATGTATCATGACACAGAACCATGACATAGAATTATTTGACTTTGGTAGAGCTGAGAAACTGTCTTAGAGTTTATATTAGTGGAGCAGTTATCTAAAACGAGGGGCAAATCACTCTTTGAAAGTCTCGTACACCATAGGTGTAAATGTTTTGTCTGAAAATCCCCGGAAATCCTTTTGTTTTGGTAAAAATATCGTACAGCTTAAAAATGGGTTTGAGAAAAGCAAACATTTGAGTAATACTAAAGCTTTTCATCTGAAACTCTTCAGAGTATAAAACGTCAGAACATAGATCGAAAACTCTACGCTAAGGAATATATATACCCAGTTGTGGATCAAAATAGGCCAATCAGAAAGGGGAGTACATGACTGTTGAAGTTGCCCAATCAGTGCCGCTTGCCTATTGAGAATGTTACCAATGAAGGCCTAAGGTGAAAACGAACTCCTTTTGTCTACACAGTAGCGGTTTTTTCGTGCTTATGTAGATAGATTCTAAAACTGCTAGATGGAACGACAGTCGGACTTTACCAATCATCCAAAACATGTCGCCATTGATCATAGTTTATTGCACAAGCTGGGTTTTCCAGTAAATGCTGCTCGATACCAGAAATTCATGTTTAAGTGTTTCCTTAAATGTTTGCTTTTTTCAAAGCCATTTTTACGTTTTGTACCACCGAAAGATTGACCGTACAATTTTTGCAAGAGTGAATTGCCCCTTGATTTAAACCCTAAATAAATGTGCAAAATGCGAAGCCAAAGATTTGGTAAGCATATTCTTCTGGCGAATAACATTTGCAAAACCAAGCAAGCTCTTGGGAAATATCGTTCCTCTGCAAAGGAAAACGCAGATCCCGGAATAATTTCTAGAGTCCTAACGTTTACCATTTGGACTTCATTATGCCGTTGAAATCACTTATATAACAAGCTGTTGAGCATGAGCTACTTTTTAAACTAGGCAAAAAAAGAATTGACATTGAGTTACAAGATACATGGAAATGAACAAATATTTGGTTCCAAGAAATATGTAAAAGGATGAGGACGTTATTACTTCCATCTGCCAGTGGTTTCCACAGTAACGCCTTATCATTTCAATCATAAGCCACCAACCTAAAAGTAGAGGCCTGGACACAATAAAAAGGGCAGCAACCAGCGATAAGCTTGGCCTCCGAAAAACAGCAGATTTGTGTAAACAATAAGATGACAATTTCTAACCAACAATAAACTCGACCATTCTAGTGAATCTACCAGGCAAGAAAGGCCGAGACCAAATTTGTTCGATGGCTGAAAAACTAGTCCAGTCGTTTGATCCCTTGAGTTACTGGGTAAACGAGGTTGCTGATCTCGATCGTGAAATTGTCCAGGCGTACAAAAGTAACGATAAAAAGAGGATCGAAGAGATCATATCAGGAAATGATCGAAGGACATTTGATGTTTTCATTTGCTCCGACGGAGGTCATGCCTTTCTTGTCTTGGCTGAAGTTTCGCACACAGAACCGGTGTATGGCCCAAAATCGACCAATGAAAATCCATACCTTATTCCAGGTAGCTTGCTGTCTTGGAAAATTGACCTTCGGTTCGAAGAGGTAAAACTGAGAACTTACAAGGTGTCTAAAAAAATTCAACTTTTCAAAGACATAGAGAAGCACATTAAGAAAACATTCTATATAGGAAGATATGAAAATGTTAAGAGCATCAAATGTTTTGATTTGGCGTGTTTGCGTGCAGCCCCGCATCATTATAACGCAATTATCGATGATTGCGTGGAATTTGCAAAGGAATTCTGTGTTTGCTTACTGAGCTATTGTGATTGCTCCAAAGAGCTGGAAAAGAGAGTGATATCAGAAATTAAGAAAGTTTCAGCTACTGGCCTCAGTTTGGAAACGTTGTCAAGGAATTCTTTCTTGTCAGGAATTCTTGGAAACATTTCGTTTGGTGGAGTCGATGTCAGCAGTTACCTTTCAGGGCCGCACGGTTCGCTCATAGTTTTGGGTATTGTTGCGTTTCTGCTGCTGTACCCAATATTTGTCGCTTTTCTAGCGGTTTTTATCTTTAAAAGCTATGGAACTTAGCTGTACATCAAGACGAGGTCTGTCAAGCGAATGGTGCTGAAAGTGACTCTATATGTTCACGCCATTTCATGACTGTAAAGCAAGTCTAATCTTTGATAAACACTGCTATAATTTTTTTCCTATTGATAAGAAGATTGGTAATAAAAAATACGCATAAATACAGTATTGTATAAGTTTTATCTATTATGATTTCCTCATATGATGAATAGTTAATTCACTCAATGTTAGATAGATGTACTCTAGCAGTCTTATGGAAACTCGTTAAAACCTTTTAAATGAAAACCTTCTAGAAACTGTTTAGAAGCACGTTTATTTAAACGCTGCAAAAGTTTTATTTCTGAGCTCATTGGCTGGAATAAATTCACTTCTGGCAACTCAATGCTAAACAAAGAGTACAGATTCTAATAAGTTGACTAATTCAAGAGAGACAATAATTTGAAGAGCATGTATGTAAACAATTAGGTGCATATCAAGAGATATACACAATTAAATGCATCATTGGAAAATGTAGCATTTTTCAAACCTCTAACTTGATGCATATAAGTACAAAGAAAAATTTTACAAAACCTTCAGAGTTCTGGAATTTGTTATTGGATGTTATAATTTTATTTAAAACTTATATCAGTTTCATGTCTCATTTATTCATTTTATTGCACCAACAGCAACATAAATTTAATTTCTTGTAAAGACTTCCCCCTACCTTTTCCAAAAAGAGAAGGAAGTTTTTATATTGCACCTGTTACGCAAAATGAGCACATGATTTCAGAAAGTTGATTCCTGCTTATCTTCTTGGAAACACAGAGAGTCAGCTCATCCATTCTACTTCATATTCAACGAGGTAAATGGGTACAGCCTTCAAAAGAATGTAAAGAATAAAGAATACGAAGAATATTACTTGGAGAGAATATAAAGAGAACAAAAAAATTCTTCGACAGGGAAACATATGTAAGTTGAAAATTGGGGGAGAAGAGGAGGGGAAGACTTTTCAAAAAGCTCTTTTGTTCTGCAAATATGTGGAAGGGCTTGAACCCTCATTCCTAAGCGACTGAATGGAATATTATATTATCACACCATGACGTATAACCGTTGATTTTTCTTAGTTTTACTGAATGCAGTACTTACTGTTACAAGCACAAGCATCTTTTTTTTCTCCTTTTTTAATTTTTTGAAAACATTTAAGCAGTTAAAAGATTTCAGCTAGAACTAACTGTTTTACAAATTGACCTGTTAAAAACACAAATTAAAAATAATCATACTTATATAATTTTTAGTCAATTTTTCCACGGTAAAACAGCGTAGAAAAAAATTGAAAATTCTACCAGACTTTAATGTGGATTCAAACCATTTTCAATTGAATTTCAAATTTGCATCTGTTGCTACCTTTTATCTTCACTTTTACTCCCTAATCTTAGCATTTTTTTACAGATATATGCATTTTACTTAATACAGAAAGATTAAACAATAAATCAGTAGCAAACAACTGCTTCTGGTGATGGAGTAAATACTTTCCTTTGCTATCGTTTTTGATAAAACGTAACTCTACTCTAACATCTTTGTTAAAAATTCACGAAAATGATAGATAACATACCTGATCAAAATCGTAGATCACATACTCTTGACCTGCCACTCGGTCACCGCCAAAAGTCTTTCTCCCAATTGTCTATAATTGAAACAGTGGTGTTGGTCTCCGCAGATGCAAAAATTAAAGGAACAGTAGTAAAATTGTTCGAAATGGTGCTACTTAAATTTTCCAGTCATCTACCAATACAATACACAACTTAATTTACGATCCCGTTTGAGAAATTACTCCAAACTTATTTGCAAAACTTTTGAATATCGCTAATTACGCTCAAATTTCTTATTAAATGTTTAAAGTGTTGCGTTAGCAGTTGGCTTATATAGCAAAAACATCTGGATTTGAATTTAATTGTTTTGTGACTTTTCATTCTGTTTCACAAAATTTTAATGTCGTAAAAATTCACCCTCGATCCCGTGCTTTTTAAAATCAAAAGCAATAATTGCATTGCATTAGCCAATCACGTTTACGACATATTGTATTGCATTAGCCAATCACGTTCACGACATATTTTATCGCATTAGCCAATCACGTTCACGACATATTGTATTGCATTAGCCAATCACGTTCACGACATATTGTATTGCATTAGCCAATCACGTTCACGACATATTGTATTGCATTAGCCAATCACGTTTACAAAGCATGCTCTTTAGCTTCGTAGGATCAAACTTCTTGCTACACCGTGCTCCATGAGTTCGATGCACTTTGTTTTTGCGATGTTCTGCTACAGGTGCAAAAAAGGTTTGTGTCCTTTGAGTTGAATGGACAATACAAATTAAAGTAGGCACTAGCCCCAATGTTGGATGAAAGCCCAACACGTCCACTGAAATTTCAAGGGATGAAAACGTCACCTGTTTATCAATTGTTTGCGTCTTCGTTGGAAAAGCTGAATTGGCGCTGGCTAATTTAGGGATTATCATCCGAATAAAGGCATTGTCACAAGTTTTTAGACAATCATAAATGATCTGAATAATAAAAATGGGATGACCATTCGGTACTTACCATGACTGAGTCACATCCTTCTGGTGGTGAAATCCTGCAAAATATTAGAAAACTGAGAATCACTTTCCGTCCTGCACTCCACAGAGCATTAAACATTTTAGTCCACACAAGATCAGTCCACACAGGTTTAAAGGCAATTGTATGTCTAAAACTGGTTTATTTCTACCAATTGAAAGGAGTCTAACTGGTTTCTTTCTACCAAAACTTATCTACGAATAAAAATAACCAATATACTTACTTACGAATAAAAATTAACTGAAATTACAGAGTATCGATTTCACTGCCTCCTGAAGTTAAAAACTAATTTAACAAGTGTCAATAAAATCCATTTACAATCCGTTCTGAAGTAAAAACTAATTTTGTAAGTATAACAGAAATCCAATTATAATTTTACCGTGAAAAATCCTCTTTCACAACGGAGCATGTATTACCCAATCCAACCAGACAGATAAGCAGAACTCCTGGCTAAGGAAGATGCGTTCACTATTTATGCATAATTTTAAATATACGTTCATTATTTATGCATAATTTTTAACATACGTTCATTATTCATGCATAATTTTTAACATACGTTTATTATTCATGCATAGTTTTTAACATACGTTCATTATTCATGCATAATTTTTAAGATAAGTTTTTATCAATGCATGATTTTTTATACAAGTCCATTATTCATGCAAAATTTTCAAAATATGTTTGCTATTCATGAATAATTTTCAAGATACGTTCATTACTCATGCATAACTTTTAAGTTAGGTTTGTTATCAATGCCTGATTTATTAGAAAAGTTCACTATTCATGCATAATTTCAAGATACATTTGTTATTCATGCATAATTTTCAAAATACGTTTGCTTTTCATGAATAATTTTTCATGCATTATTCATGCAGAACTCCTAGCTAAGGAAGACACGTTCATAAGTCAGGCATAATTTTTATGACACGCTCATTACTCATGCGTAATTTTCAAACTCGAAAAACGTTTCATCAAGTACAGAGTTTGATTGCTTGAGTCGAGACTGAGTCGCATTACTTGAATGTTCTTAAGTGCTGAAGGGTCAAGACTTAAAAGCGAACCTACTTAATATTGAAGTAAATATCTAAACACCTGTGTCAAATTATAATCAGTTAGAAACATTTTTCATGATATGCCTAAACTCGTAAAAGGAGGTTCTTTGCCCAACCTAAGATTGGGTAGCCTGCGCGCATACTCGATTTGTTACTGGGAGAGAAATCCTATATTCTCCATTCAGGCTAAGTATTGGACTGCAAAAAGAAGGAAATAATTGAACTTTTTTTAATTGAAAAATGTTATGGTAATTACCACCGAGAACTCCATAGCTTTGCGCGGACTCTGACTGAAGTAAAGTCCTTTTCCAAAAGGGCCGGTTATAAAATCTGCCAAAAAGAGAGGAAGAAATGTTTATATTAAAAAAGAAAATACATTTGAACGGTACAAAAAGTAAAATGTTTTCACAAACCACTAAAATCGAGTATCCTTGATTTTCAAGGCTTAAAAAAAGGACAGACAAATTTTACCTATTCACTTGACGTAATATATAAGACGAGAAAAGTGTATACAAATCTAGAATATCAGATAAGAAGTTAAAAATTTACTTTTATTTTAAAACATTTTTTGTTTTGATAGCTGGTACACAGTGCCCGCGTCACGAATTTGAAAGTGGGAGATGGGGGCAAGGCTAAAATGTAGGGGGCCCCTTTGTAAAAGGCTTTTTACCCCTTTTACAGCAGCTTTAAACTACTTGCTTCGCAAAAAAGTAGGGGGCCATGGCCACCCTGCCCCCCCCGGTGGCGCGGGCCCCGGTAAAAGCAGCTTGATATTGTAATCCTATAAAGTCTTCATTGCCAAAGGGTTTAAATTTTTCAAGCAAAAACTCTTCTTTTAATTTGCAGGTCAAAATCTTGTCACTGTGTAAAAGCTGTAATCATTGATCTGGTGTTAAAGCCAAAACAAGGTAGTAAGCCTCCTTGTTTAAAAAAAGTTATCAGAGATAAAGCCTGGTTTCCATATAGCCGTAAGGATGCCTGCGGCTGCCTGCGGCTGCCTGCGACTGCTTTCTGCCATCTTCCATCTTCCATCTTCCATCCCTACGGTATCGCCGGCAGATAATTCTTTATGGAAACGCTTTCTAACGGTACCGCAGGCAGCTGTTTGAAGTGCCGTAAGACTGCCGGGAGAGCCGGGAGAAAGTTGAACGAGTTCAACATTTCCCGGCTCTTAAGGCAGCCTCCCGGTACCGCCGGCAGACAAATTACAAATGGAAACGCCTTGTCTGCGGCTGCCTGCGGCATTCTTTTGTTCAAACGGATCATGTGATGTGCAAGAACCAATTGAAACAGGGCTTTGTTGTTGAATTTTGCCCGCCAGTTTTTCCCGCTCAAACTTTACCTAGTTACCGGCATAGTTACCGATACCGCAGGCAATTGAAAACAGAACGTTTCCATTTGCCGGCGCTACTGTAAGGGTGGAAGATGGCAGAAAGCAGTCGCAGGCAGTCGCAGGCAGTCGCAGGCAGTCGCAGGCAGTCGCAGGCAGTCGCAGGCAGCCTTACGGCTATATGGAAACCAGGCTTAAATCCTGGTCGACTTTGAATGCATCCAATTTGCATAGGCTGTAATGAAGTTTAGCCCTACCAATTACACTTTTCATAAAATTCACCATTATCTTTTCAGAGCAGCCACGACACCCGTTTTCAATGCAAAAATGCACCATAAAAAGGCTTACCGTTAGATGAAAATCCTCTTTCTGCCATAACTTCTAACTGCTTCAGCGAAGGTCCCCCGCAAAAGTAAAGCTCTGTAAACATAAGGGGGTCTCGCAAAGTCTCTAATTTTGCATAAAACGTGCCTCGATTAATCGACGCCTGTAAAGAAATGAAAATGGTAAATACAGGGGGGAACACAGGGAAGAGGAATACAGGGAAGAGGGTCAGAATAGGGGTTGATGCTGGTGTGTAGTAAGGCAATAGTTCGATGAAACCTTTCCCCTTAAAGCAAGTTGCTGAGGCCCACAATAATGGAAGCAGGTCAAATATGAAAACAAAGTCTACTGCTAGTGAATGAGAAAATGATAGGTGCAACAAGAGATTGATAATGCGTAGCTGGTCGGAAAGGAAGTAAAAGTAAATGAAATTTTTCGGATAGCCTATCGCCGACGTTTCTTGGAATTTTTGGACAAATATAAACATTCCAAGAAATGACAATTACCTTCATTTCCAATCTTTTGTTTGAAATATCTGCACTTACTTGAAGAATCTTGCCATAATTAACATTTATCTTAAAGGTGATGTACATGGATTCCTGGAGTTAGTTTTGACGTTTAATTTGATTCCAGGAGATAATTAAATTGAAAGCTTTAAGCTAGGCAGATAAAGTTATAACTTAGAAAAGTGCAAGCATATACCGGCAAATAGAGTTTAAAGACGCATACACTGTTTCAATTTGCGCCTCATTTCTTATGCAACTCATGAATTATTTGAAAAGACGTGTGACGATGCCTTGATGAATATGATTTAAGGACGTATAAACTTACAAACAGACAAGATAGGAAAGCCTTGCCTTCTGTGAATTGCATATCCTCGCAGACAGAACGGTGTTTTCTATCATCATTTGCTGGACGAAATCGAAGTTTAGTCTTGATTCTTCTGAATCGGTGCGCAATGACGTCATCACATCAGCATCTGATTACATGAAAAATTCGTGATTTTTTAAATCAAATAAATAAACTAAAGCTTTTAGATAGCTAGCGTAAGTATTACAAATAATTTCCTTCCCAATTTGTTAGTCTCTCCTTCCTCTTTAAGCTATCCCAGTTGTGTTTTATGTTTTAAAGGCCTTTTATTTTTTTTACTGTTTTTTTTTACTTCTCTAGACACAAATTTACAGAAGCCGTTTGCAAGTAAAAGTTCTGTAACCTAGTTTGAATATTTACTAACCAAATAAAGATAAAATAAAAAATAAAGAACTGAATTCGAGATTTGACCCCATAGTTAGAACATACGTTATCAAATTCGAGGGGCAATTCACTTCGGAAAAGGCGTGCGAGATTTGCATCGAAACAAAAGGACTTTTACAGGTTTTCAAAGGAAGCAAAAGGATTTCCATTGAATATGTAAGAGATTTCTACAGAGGGAATTGCCCCTCGATAAAGAGACAGGTATTTTTAGGTGCATAATAAACGAGCTCTTATGTCTGTTTCGTCCGCGATTCACATGATTAGCGGTTTTTTCTTGATCAAAGCGAGGCTATCGGTTAAGTGCTCAGCATACGGATAACACTGCATAGCATACGGTTGTACAAGTCGAAGCACCAAGCAAAATCGTGAAGACCTAACCTGGCAAATTTTGCCACTATCCCCTCCTATTTGCCACTATCCCCCCTCATAACCTCTCCTATTCACGGCTGATTTAGACTGAGGACTGACCTAGGGACAAGAACGTACCATGAGGGCAATTAACAATCTTCCCAATTAGCCCCTCATTCAGGATCACGCTGCAAAAATATTTTTTTCATCCTGGCTTTTATCACTTCATAATTTTACTTTTCCTTAATTGTACTAACCATTGTACGTAATAGGTAAATGCGGGTTTATGTACAGTACAATTGGATATCAAACAAGAAGCTTCTGCAGAAATAGCCGATGAAAACGAGGAAGAAGGAGGGCAAGTGGAAAACGATGAAGTTGCAGATGCTTTCTGTTCTGAAGGTCAGGACATCGATGGAAATGAAAAACCTTTGGAGGACCTAAGACTGAAGACAGAAGAAGTGCTGAATTCGATAAAGGAATTGGAGGCCAGAGGACAAGAGTTTTCTGACAAGATAGAGAAGCTGGAAGAAATTACACACGAGGAAAGAGATGTTAGAACAGAACTAGAACTACTCGCTAAGGAAAGAGCATTAAGTGTGGAGGCTGTCAAAAGTAATTTAGATTTTACACCGGGTTTGAGAACTATCGATAGGAAAGCTTCTTCTCTAGTCCTTCTTTTCTTATATTCCGACACTTGCCATTTAATATTTTCACTTTCTCTTCAGCGGAAAAAACGTTGATTCTGGTAATAATTTCCCGTAATTTCTGTTAGTCATCCCTTCCAACTGTACGGTTAATTGAAACATCCAGTCCGTACAGAGCAACCGTGACCTGAACGCCTCGTTTCCATGTACCCTCGAGGGAACGGAAACATCTACTGCCTCAGATCATTTTCCTGTAGGACTCTGTGTTGGAGTATCATTATTATTATTATTATTATTATTATTATTATTATTAAAAAAGCATCAACGATATTGATCCACAAAAAAGACAATACAGCTGATCCTTCTAACTTCAGACCAATAACCTTAGAATCTGTTCCCTTGAAAATCTTCACCTCCTGCCTACGTAACTCTGTTTTCAACTTTCTGAAACAAAATGGTTTCATTGAAAGCCAAATTAAAAAAGGCTTCACTCCCAAGATATCAGGTACTTTAGAACACACGGCACTTATGGGTCATATGATAAATAAAGCTCGCACAAAACAGCGCTCTTTGGTTGTTACCCTGCTTGATCTCAAAAATGCTTTCGGCGAGGTCCACCATAATTTGATTCCCACTATTCTTTCGTACCATCATATACCATCTCATATTCAGGCTCTGGTCTCCAGCTTATATTCGGGCTTCAAGACCTCTATCCTCACAGATACATTCCAAACCCCTGCCATTCCCGTTTGTCGTGGTGTTCTTCAAGGCGACTGCCTCAGCCCTCTTATCTTTAATCTATGTTCAATACGTATATTCAATACATAAAAGCAGAAAAATATAAACAGCTTGGCTTCTCTCCCCACGACGAAAACGATCGCATGTTCCAGCCAGTGCATTGGTTCCAATTTGCTGATGATGCTGCGGTTGTTACTAGTGGTGAAAAGGAGAACCAACTCCTGTTAAACTGCTTTACAAGATGGTGTCAGTGGGCAAACTTTGTAATAAGGGTTGATAAATGTGTCACCTTTGGCATTTAGAAATACTCAACAAGATCTCTTCAGTTCCAGCCAAAGCTTTTCGTGAACAACCAAAGCGTGCCTGTTGTTAAAAATGGAGAATCTTTCAAATACCTTGGCCGCTTCCTTGACTTCAAATACCTTGACTTCGAAATGACCAATGGCAGTCATAAAGAAAAACTGCTATCAATGTTTCCCAGCCTTCTGAAAGAAATTGATGACTTGCCTCTGCATCCCAAAAATAAACTTCTATTGTACCACAGATATGTATTGTCCAAAGTTTCTTGGCACTTCACTGTTACAGACCTATCGAAGACCTGGGTCATTGAGAACCTCGATAATCTTGTCTCTAAATACATTCGCCAGTGGCTTGATCTTCCCATAAGTGCTACTTTAACTAGTATAGTTCTTTCTAAAAATCAATTTGGTCTCGATCTTCAGCTACCTTCTGTCAAATTCACTCAATGCCAAACTGTTTCACGCAATGCCCTCCGAACTTCTCCTAACACAAACATTCAAGCTTTATGGAAAAACACCAGTAGTGGGATGAATCTGCAATACGACATTTACCGTAACACCAAAGATGTACTGAAAGCAGTAAAATCAGACAGTAGAGAGCGCTTGGCATACCAATTACTATCCCAGGGTGCTTTTATTTCATTTCTGTTGGACCACTCTCTTAAAAAGCTCAATGGTCTTTGGTCTGTTGTGCAGAGCAACCTACCCACGAACATCTTCAACTTCACCATCAAGTACCTGAACAATACTCTCCCTACGCGCAAAAATCTAAGCCTTTGGAACCTAAGCCAATCATCTGATTGCGAATTCTGTATTCTTCCCGAAACTTTACTCCATGTCGTTGCAGGCTGCAAAGTTTATCTCGAACAAGGTCGTTATACCTGGCGTCATAATTCTGCTCTAAATTTTCTTGCAACCTCCTTGAAAGCAATAGAGGGATCCTCTCTTTTTGCCGATATACCTGGCTTCTCCTCACCATCCATCATAACTGGAGACAATCTGCGCCCAGATCTACTTCTGCGTACAAAGGAAAACATTCTTTATGTTTTGGAACTAACGATAGGATTTGAAACTAATCTTAACTGCAATGCAGAAAGGAAACGTTCAAAATATGCTCGCCTTGTCTCAGATCTAAGACCAAGGTTCAAATCTGTGATATTTGTAAATCTCTCCGTCAGCTCTCTTGGCATCTTCGGCGACTCATGCAGCTCATTCCTTGAAATGTGTGACTCTCTTTCCATCGATGATCAACACAAACGATGTCTCATTTCTAAGCTTTCTACGATATCCATTCGTACCACCTATTACATTTTTTTCTGTAGGAACAAAACATGGACTAACCCAGAGCTACTCCCCTTTTAACGTTTTTTTTTCTTTTCTCTTTACTACGATTGTAATAGTCTTATTTTGTAAAAACAGGCTAGCCAGTTACAAATTACCTTGTAATAGTGAGATTTGTAATTGTAGTTTTAACTGGAATTGAAAATGAAAAGTTTCCATTATTATTATTATTATTACTGTTACTACTATTATAAAATTATTTACAGTTGGCGAGGCAAATTAAGATAGCTAATATCACAGCTGATTAAAGCCTACTATCTATAATAAATTTACAAATCTAAAATTTATTACAATGAATGGATAGAATATTGAAGGAAATGTACAAAATCAAGAGGATGACTAATTAGATAAAAATATACAATTATTCGATGACTATTTCAAGAATCCAATCTGCGCAATGTAAGGTTTGCATAGTCTTCAGTTGCATTTTGTATCTTTCCAAGTTTTAATCTTTTTCTTAAATATTGCGAAGCTAGAAGATGTTTTAATGTCATCTGTAAGCTCTTGCCAGAGCTTGGATCCCATATAGGCTGCACTTTCTATACCATAGCTATTTTTTTGGTTTTGAAAGCGATATTTGGGATATGTTTCTAAGATTATAGCACGTATTTCTTTCAGTAAAGATTTTTTTTCATGAAACTTGGGATTGTTTCATATACTTCTGTAAAAAGCAACTGCAGATTTTTATCATGGATAGACGTCGAGTTGTCTTTTTCAAGAAGAGTTTGAAAGTTTGATTCATAGTCATCAAAGGCAAGACGAAAAGATCTTTCATGAATTCTATTTATCCTGTTGTTTATCTGACGATCATAGAACATCCAAATTTAGACGGCATTTGTCCCCGTTCAGTCTCATATAATTATTTTGAAACCATTCTCTCATAATAACTACGTCTTGTTCTAGTATTTTAATAGCCTGCTTGATGTCTTGGTGGATGACATATAGCGTTGTATCATCAGCATAATTGCATACTTTGCTATTTGATATAGACATGAGCATGTCATTTATGTATATATTGAACAAGAGAGGTCCCAAAACTGATCCTTGTGGCACACCTTTACTCTTGGTTTCCCATTCATTGAAAGAGCAAGAGCGTTTATTTTGACTCTTTGTTTCCTCTGGCTAAGGTACGATAATGTGAAATTCAAGGCGATTCTACTAAAACCATAAACATTGAGTTTAGCAATCATTAGGTCATGCTTCAAACAATCAAATGCTTTGGACAGATCCATCAATAGTGCACTGGCTGTGTGTTTACTATCTAGAGCCTTATTGCAATTTTCTATGAGTCTGAGTAACGTTCTATGTTGGGAAATTTTCTATGTTGGGTGCGATAACTCCGTCTGAAACCACATAAAAGTGATGACAGAAAGCCATGAGCGAAGGGAGTAATTTCTGATTCCATGATTCTCTCATATATTTTTGATGCTGACGGTAAGATAGCAATAGGTCTATAATTTTTCTTAATGAATATATCATCTTTTTTGTGCAACGACGATGTGTCTCCTAATTTGTGTTCTTTTGGAAATTTCATATTAGCTAGCTCCTCATTAAATGTTCTTCAGAGACTTCAGAGAAAATGTCAGAATATTCTTTAAATATCTTAGCAGGTATACTTTCTATTGGTGCGGCCTTTCTGGTATTAAGTTTGTTTATCTGATTCCAAATTTCCCCACTGTTAACTTTCCTAAATTCAAAGGGCTGCAGGTTAGGGTACATTTCTCTTATTTTTACGATACTTGGGTGGTTTTTATATTTCTCAATGGCTTTATCAACTGGCTCATTTATACCATTTGTAAATGATATGTGAGCTTTATCTTCGGAATCCCTAGATCTTGTGTTATGTTTAGAAAGTAGTTGTTTAATAATTCTGCAATCTTGCGGTCATCACTAATTAATTCTCCATTTTCTTCCAATGTAATGGAGGGTGTTGCTTGTATCTTTTCTGCAAAGACCGGTTTGATCGCTCTCCAGAATTTGCGATTATCTGTAAGATTACTTAATTACGTATTACATAGCATTACGTAATAACTTCACACATTTGTTCCTTTGCCGTAAATATGCTTTATGATTTTCCTCATTTTTGCTTTTAGTATATATATTTTTCAGTTTGCTACGATGTATTATTGCCTTACTTGATTCTGCTTGAAAGGCAGCTTGGAAAGGTTCTTGAAAGAGAGACGCCGACAGAGCAGAAAAAGACGGGCAAAACACTGGTAATGTAAGCAGTAAGATAACATTTAAGAAATCATCGGAGATAAAATGTGCTATCTTCTTTGGCTTTGGGGGCTTTTACTGATTATTGGAGAAGGCATGAACCCACTTTTAGACAACCAGGCAAGTAAGCATTTATCTTTGAATGGTCTTATTGAACCTAGAAATGGTGAAGTAACTAGATGATTCAATCTTCTTCCGTGATTTTGAAACAAAACAAAATCAAAATCAGCTTTCACATACCACTTACATCCATTTTTGTATGAAGTTTGCTGTTTTCCTCTTTGAGCCTTGCAATGGCTTTCTGTTGAGATTCAACCTGCGAATGATGAAAATGAGACTGGTGCAAAAAAGGAAGGGAAATAATTGCGAGCATTTCACAAATGTTTTACAAATATAAATCAAAGCAAATAAAGAAAGTTATATGCATTTCAAATCCATATTACATGTCTTTTAGGTTTATTGCTCTTGGTATGAAGGGTCACAAGCATTGGGCCTGTCCGATGAGGTTGAAGCGACGAAAAATACGTTGATGATTTTTTCTATTATGGGACCAAAATATCGATTAAACTTGAAAACCTACAACCTACTTTACAAGCATTGCAGTGGGAAGCACATCTTATGACGGAATGTAAATACGTTCTTGGTTTTCTGGATGTAAAAATTGTAGATGAAAACAAAATAATAATCCTAAACGATGATACCCAACTATAAAATCGACTATTTCATTATTGTTACAATGAAAAAAAGCATCCATTTCTCCTTGCACGGTGCAGCTGTTTCAATATTAACTGCGAAACGAGGATGGCTCAGTGGTTAGAGTCGCTGACTACAGACCCAAAGGTCCGTGGTTCGAGTCCCCTGACCAAACTTCCCTCAGAGTGAGGAGAGTCGCCAGCTCTCCGTAATTCCAGGAGTAGGAATCACGAGGTGTGGTCACATCTAGAGGAAGGACCAGGACACTGCTCGGTAAGCATGAGCTTCTGCTTTTCAGTGTCCTAAAAACTACCTTCGGATGCTAGGAAGCGAACAATACAAAAATACAATACAACAATGTTAGATTGCATTCTATACCTTGCTTGGAAGTCGGGAGGTTGGAAGTCGTCATGTGCTTGAGTTATGACCTTAGCTAATGTGCAGAAAACAAGGAGGAAGTAAAGACGCAGTTGCATGATAATCTGTGACATTGGCATTAATGGTACTTGCGGAATTCTTCTAGCCGGATCTATCTTGATAATTATTAATTTTCACTTACAGTAGCTTGTGTTGATTGAAGTTAAACATGTACGCATTCCTAATAGCTACTGTAATTCGTGTTGTTATGTGAGAGATAGAAATCAAAGGGAGTACATGGAAATTAAGGTTGTTTCTTGCATTGTATCCGCAAAGGCCATGCATTATTTCATTTCATCATGAATTGTTTACTGACTCAAAACAAATCTAGAATATTATGAAAAATGTTTTGCTTGTTAATGCTTGCGAAAAGACAGGCTGGCATCGATATGACGAGCGGTTTTTTCTTCAGTAGAGTAATGCCGCCGAATAGGTTCGCATATTTTGATAGTTCGAATTTTATTATAAAATATTTTATGAAACTGCAAAAAACCCGCAAAAGAAACAATGTTGAAATATAACTAGGCTCATGGATTCACGACGGCTAGAGAAAGAATCTCTCTCATAATGAAATCAAGATTGACGTAGAAGATCTGGCCTAAGGAAGCAGTCCACATGTACGGATATTTTTTGAATCTCAAATTTTTCGTTAGGGCTAGGGCTTTCGTCCAGACGTACACGAATCATACACCATTGTATCCGCAACATTTCGAATTAAACTTCCAATGGAAAACTTTGATTACGCTACGAAACCGATGTGCGAAGGCTGGATTTAATGCGATGGCGTAATAATGACTCGCTTGCTGGATGGCACATGCTCTGATGGAGATTCCAACAGATGGGTTGTAAAAACTCCAGTGAATCATAATGTGTTGTGTGGATAGTCGGATTAGGTTTGAATACACTACGCGTAGATGCAAAAATGTTTGAATCTGAAGAGAATAGTTCTATTGACAATGGTTTGCGGACTCAAAATATTCGGCAGGGGCTAAAATTGAGCGCGATTAGCGGTACGGTTAGCAAACAGCAGGGCAAAAAAAGATCGGCAAGGTGAATACACAGAATATCTATTTTGTGGGAGATCAACTTATAAGTATGTGCTCTTCTTCTTGAAAGAATGGTAATACAATGTTCTTATTTGAGTTCAGGAAGATATGTATCTGAAGCGTTACATATATAAGATTATAGCCAAGCCTTTAAATGCCAACTAAACTGTAGTATCCCAAAACCGAGTGCTTTCAAACATTGTTGAAAAGAACGAGATCTCACATGTACTTACAACCAGGTTGAGAATTAAAACCCATTCTATACGTTCGCGTTACTTGGCGTGAGCAAAGAAATAAGACTTTATGCATACGTCTTATTGTATGTAGCAGATCAACTCGTCTGCGTCACGAACTTGACGAAGCAGAATGGTGTCCTTTCCAGCTGCGTAGTACTTCTGCACAAAGAAAAATTATACGAGACAAACGGCATGGAACAAGTGTCAAACTCGCTTAGCGCATCTAAAAACCACAAATGGCCTACAGGAAAATACTGAGTCTCTTAGCAAATAAGTGTCGTCCTTGATCGTGCCCACAGTGTATGATATGTTCTGAGCGGGTTACTTACAGTTTTCTTTAAGCGCTTTAACTGTTGTGTTGCTGCCAAAATGCATGTCATCTGCTTCTGATAAGCAATTGTTTGCTCCATTTTCCTAGGTGATATCAAAAACAGGATCAATAATTGTTTGCAATGCATATAGACATATTTACTTTGTCAGGCTCAAGCCAAGCCGATTCGTTGGCAAGCAAGATGGCTATGTCGGAAATGTTGGGTTTCATAGAATAGACTACAAAATATACTCGTATTAGTGGGATGGGAATGACCAATTAGCGATATCAGAATTTACGGCCGCCAGCACAGTGTAATTTCCACAGTTATATCCCCATTAAGATCTCCCTTTCAAGCGCAAGAAATGAAAATGCTCACAACATGGTTTAAGGTAGCGAAACATTCACGGACGTATAGCATTTTTGAGACACAGTCTGTGAATGATTAATGGACTTGAAAAAATATGCGATCAAAAGGAAATTTAATTTGCCACTCACCAAGCTCTGATATTACGTTCTAATTCTTCTATGTCGAGGGAAGTGACAGACTCCGTGCAAGTGGCTGCCTTCTTTTGTGAAGAGCACAAGGTGAATCGTGGTATAAAACACATCGGGGTACTGTTAAGCCAGTTATCTCCAACTTTTCTGCAAAACCAAAATACTTCACTCTATATTACTTTATCTCAACGTTGTTCCGTAAGCTCTCATATGGGCTCTATTTTATAACTTTTACGACTCAAAATTTGTCGAGCATTGGCAAAGTTCAGGAAGAGGTTATCAACATTCACCATAGAAATTTTGGAAAAGCCACTGAAACTTTAGAATGATTGAAATTTTAGAAAATGTTGAGCGGGGGTTCAAACTTTAGAAAGGGTTGCAATATTAGAACTAACCTAGCATGACTGAAATTTTAGAAATCTCGCAGAGCAAGCGATTGGAATTTTAGAAACGTTGCTTAAGTAATTAAAATTTTAGAAAATGTTGAACGGTGGTTGAAACTTTGGAAATGACTGAAATTTTAAGACTAGACAGAGCAACTAAACTTTTAGAAGATCACTAAACTTTTAGAAAGTTGGTGAAATTTTAGAAAGAGCTATTTTTGGCGGTATATGCGCGCCATAAAAACGTGATTGGCTGATGCAATGCAATAACCTTTTTGTTTAGTACAAAGCATGGCATCGAGGGTGAATTTTTACGGCAGTATAAATTCAAGAAGAAGAAATGAAAAGTTACGAAACAATGGAATTCCACTCCAAACGCTGTTGTTTTATTAGCCAACTGCTAATGCGACATATGCGCTTTAAGCCTATCGCCTGACACCCCTCTAAGCTAGGAACAATATCGACTCACTCAGTTGAATAGAATTTTAACTAGAAGTTCTTATTTTTTGAATAGAGAGTGGCTGTCTATATTCTTTCAGGTTGCCCTCCCCGCAAACATTTACTAAGGGAGTTGTGGCTCTCGTGCAGAATCGTCTAAGATTTTCACGTCTATTTCACAGTGCTTGATACTTTCTAAAGCCACAAACGCTTTGGTACTGTGTTAAACGGTTGTACAAGCTTCAAGCACTATGTGACGATCAATCTATTCACAGTAGCAACATAGAACAGTCCTGTCCTACACAGGATAGCTCTTTTGTTACATAAAAAATGCGATCTCATATCTGTTAAAAAAGCATGACACAGCAAACTTTACAAATATAGAATCTTTAGCTTAAGAGTATGTATGCCTAAGTACCTGAATTTACTGTTGAGAATGACGTCATCCGTAAAACCATTTGTTGCAAAGAATGTTGCTGCTTGTGGGTCAGCATAGGTGCAAATCGCGTCATACGGCCCAGACGTTCCAGGATCTTTCAGTGTCTAAAAATACATCTCATATTCAAACACATTGATTTTAAATATATATCAGCAGAACATGCAGCAAATTAAACCATTATTTGCTTTATCCTATTTAAAAGATCTAAACTGACACCAAAATATCTAAAAATGGCTTTGTACAATATTTTGAAAATGCAGTAGAAAGCATCAAGGTCAACAACCTTTTTAATTATATATTGATTCATTTTTTATTCCAGATTGCGCTGTCTATTCTGACGTGACAGTGCTCGATGTGCAAAAGCACAGAGCAATAGATATAATAAAATAGAATATAGACTAGAAATGAGACATGTTCTCTGTTACTCCGAGTTTCGTGCTTGCGCACTCATCAGACAGACTATGATGATTGCTTCATTTTCTATTAATGATTTCTAATGATTTGCTGAATTTGAAGATTGCACGAAATACCGGAAACATGGCATACTAAAGCACTTTTCATCCGACAATCTTCAGAGTAGTAACGTCGTAAAATGACCGAAAGAAAGCTGAAAATTTATATCCGTATTTGGATCGAAAGTAACGTTAGAGGAAGAAAGACGCGTTTGATTGGTTCTTTGTTTTTACCAATCAGCGAAAGCCAACCTCTTACCTATTGGAGAATTGCTTGTTTTTGTGGGTTTTGCCCCTTTCTCGAACGAAAAATTAATTTCCGTCACTGGTTCAAATTGGCGTAATCTAGCCATTAAGAAAAGTAACGAATTAGGTTGTTTCTACTGTACTTGTTCTCAAGGTTTCACACGTATCAAATTCTTTGGCGCTTCGTTTACATCCAAATCTAAGATCAAGCAGCTTGCATCTATTTATCATGAATGGCAAGATTTTAGTAACCATGCCAAGATTTTTCCAGCCACTTGCAGATTGTTGCTGAAATTAAACGAAACAAAGACAGCAGTACCTCTAACAGCCAATGGCCAATACCACACTTCCTGTACTTTTTTCTTACAGCAAGAAGCAACAGTTCCACTGACGTTTCATTTGGAATGCTATAAAAGACATTAGACGCATTTAATATACTCATGAATGTGCTTTAACTCTCTCTATTTCAGTCGTTGGGTCATTAAAAAGGAAACGGAAAATATAAAAACAGTCGAACCACGTTAAGTTGGACCTTCAAGGGGCCTAAGGAAATGTTAAGACTTGTTCAGCGAATTTCCTACTTGGTCAGGGTACGATATTTGATTTGAATGAGGTAAGTAAATCCTACGAGGATTGTAAAAAAGTCCGATTTAAGGAAATGCCGAGTTATCCGGGGAAAGACTTAACGGAATTCAACTGTATATAGATAAACAATTTTCGAGTTGCAATTGTACTGGTGGACCAGGTTTCGCCGAGTAAACAGAAGCATACTTGGGGAGACACCAAGATAGTAATTGGAAAAAAACAGTCACAAGTTTGAAATATAATTTAATGCTATGTTGTTAATTACTTCGTTCTCTAACCTAACAACTGCACATGAGATTCATCACAGTCCTAGTTCACCGACCGCCATTACGTGTGTCAAAGTGTGTAAATACTCTAAGATACTTAAGTTATACATAGTTTTATATAGCTATAATTGGTAATTAGCAAGACTGCTTTTCAACGCATCCTTATACCTTTTGCTTGCGCCTTTGGCTCTCGCCGGGGTGTCGAGAAAGTAGGGGGTGTAGCTGAGAAGAACACCCCGGGACCCGAATCTTGGGCCTATGTAGAATAAAACGTTTCATACGCCACTGGTTCATTTCAATCAATCAACTTCCAATATGATTGTAACGCACTTGTAAGATTATTTCAAAACACGTTGTATCCTTTTTACAGGCCTACTTAGCAACGTCAAAAAAAATCTCTAATTTGCAAGTTATGTGACTTGCATCTAATCCCTAATTAAATGTCGACATCTCTGCTATTCATGTGTGTAGACCTTAACTTTGAATGGACAGGGTGGGGGAATGTTGGAATATACATGCAGGATGTACGAGGGTTTTATCTGTGGCCAGGATTGTATTGACTAGTGTAGCTATTGTCAACATCTAACGTATCGAACTCTGAAGAACGTCGACCAGCAACTTTTAGCATGCGATCAAAGTGGTTCCGACTTTTTAGCATTCTTAATAGTGGCAGTAATTTTTGACTACCTAATTCAGTCAATGATATAGTCTTAGAACATATATGTTCACACTTTAAATAATGGAATACGGAATAAAGCTGCTTGACAATACTTTTACTAACATGGTCTACCAGTTGCCGGATTTTCTACATTGCTGTATCGCAATCACTTCACATAGACCGTTATGAGTTATGACGTAAGCATTATTGACATAAGATGACAAATATTTATTGCGTCATCGTCTTTAAACAACAAAGTCTTTTCTTAGAATAACTGGGTATGAGGATAAACTGCATCCGGCAATGGAAGCGCTGCTTTGGGACGAATGGAGTTACCCTTGACCATTGCTACTCTCGGGTTATCCTCGAGCATGGATGTAGAACCCAGTAATTGCTCTCTCTATTTTGGTTACAACCCTCGATCGGCAGCAAGACCGTTGTAGGTGCACAGGCGGATGAGCATGTATTCATTGTCAACGGCTGTAGACCACCTTCTGGCGAATGGAGGATCACTACAGTGACAACAGTCGGCAGCACCAACTAAGTTAACTGGCATTGCTGAGTATGGAAAGCAACGGGATACTACCATACTTATCTTTTACCAAGTTCATCATGGATAGTACCAATAATCTCGAATCAGACAACAGCATGAATGGGGGTATACCAAGAAGGATTACCTCCTCGTTCGGAACTAAAGTTGAAAATACTGAAAGAACCAGGACCAAAAACAATGAAGCTAGGCATGAGCAACTGAAGGATCCTCTGGTAAAGGAAAAATTTCAATTAGAATTGAAAATCGATTCGAAGCCCTAGAAATTGAGCAAAGTAATCACATCGAAGAACATTATGACCGAGATAAGACAACATTCATCGAAGCAGCCAACTGAAGCATACCGGCAAAGAAAAATATTGTAAAAAAGGAGTGAATGACTGATGAAATCTTGAATATGATGGAAGAGAGAAGGAAACATAAAAGATCTGAAATTCAGTACCGAGAAGTCGACAAAGAAATAAAAAGAAAATGTATAGAAGAAAAAGAAAAATGGCTGAATACCATGTGTATTGAAATAGAATCAAATAGGAACACCAACAGCAGGAAGCTGCACAACAAGATCAAAGAGATAGCTGGAAAGAAGAGAAACACGTGTTCTTCGAGTGGATGTCTGAAAGCAAAAGACGGAACAATAATTATCGAAAAAGCGGAAATTATTAAGCGTTGGGAAGAGTGTATTGAAGAATTATTTGATGATGAAAGGGGTATAAAGCGGACAAGAAAAGATGAGGACCATGGAGAAGACAATCTAAAATCCGAAGTAGAATTCGCCTTAAGAAAGATTAAAAGAGGAAAGGCACCAGGTCCAGATCAGGTTAACGTGGAAATGTTAGACAGCGCATGGGAAATAGGTCTAGAAAAGTTGACTGAGCTTATCAACAAGGTTTATAACACGGGAAACATTCCGGGAGATCTCTTAAAGTCAGTATTCATAGCAATACCAAAAAAGCCAAAAGCAAATGAATGCGGGTTCGCACAAGGGGAAGGAACTCGGAATGCAGTTTACACGATGAGAACACTTATCGAAAGAAGCATTGAAATGAAACAGGATATTTATGTCTGCATGATTGATTACATAAAAGCATTTGACAAAGTACAACATGAACCATTTATGGAAATTCTATCGGTAGGAAAAGCTGGAGATTAATAAGGAACATTTTTGGGATCAAAGTGCAACGGTCAGCTATGAAAACGAATTAGGAGCATGGAAAAATATCAAAAGAGGCTTGAGGCAGGGTTGCGTATTCTCTCTAGACGGGTTTTTACTCTACAGCGAAAGAGTAATGAAGAAAATAGAAAACATGCCATCAGCTAAAGTGGGAGGGGTTAATATAAACAATGTAGGCTTTACTGATGATATAGCACTCATAGCGAACACAGAAAAAGATCTTCAGGAGCTAGTAAACAAGATAAAAGAAGAGAGAAAAAAGAAAGAGATTCCAAAGTGCAGCATCAAGATAGATGGAGTAGAACTTGAGCAAGTGAAGCAATCTAATTATCTGGGTAGTATCCTTACCTCAGATGGCAGAAGCAAAGTGGAAATTGACAGAAGAATCGGACAAGCAAAAAGCGCATTTGGAAATATAATAAACATTCTAAGTCCGTATAAAAAATCTCAATCCGAACAAGGCTTAGGACATTAAAAGCTTATATCTGGCCCATCATGAAATACGCTTGTGAAACATGGAACACAGGACAAGATGAAGGAAGGAAAACTGATAGTTTTAAACTTTGGTGCTATAGGAGAATGCAAAATATCAGTTGGACCAAAAGGAAAAGTAACGATAAAGTGCTGAGGTCAGTGGGTACAAAGAAAGAGTTAATGAACGGAATCAAAGAACAACAAATGAAGTTTTTCGGACATATTGTAAGAGAGGGAAACATATAAGAGCTGATTATAACAGGTAGAATTGAAGGCACTAGGGACAGAGGGAGACAAAGAACAAAACAGCTTCACAAAATCAGAGGTTGGTTACAATTAGACAGGAGCTGCGCAGTGATTCACAGTTGCCGAAATAGAGAGCAATGAAGGTCCATTATCGCCCAAACTATACGTTATGGCAAATGAAGAAGAGGAAGAAGAAGAATAACTGATTACGGAAGTCGGTACATGCTTAAAACCAACAACAAGTCTAAGTTAATATCTGTATGCATTCATTTGACATAGCTTCTACACACGTTCTGGGGTGTTTTACACGTAGATATTTAATATAAGCTATTATGAAATTGCTGGTAGGTGGCTAGTTGGTAGTTATAGAGCAGCTTTCAGTCATTTGAAACATTCGAATTGCATTGTCAATAGGATAGGCTGTAATCAAACCCAAGAGCTGCGATGATCAGTACTTTGGTTGCGTGGCAACATCGAAGATCGACCACTTCTTTGGTTTGTAAAGAGGGACTTAATGGCTTTTCTGAACTCATCGCCGGATATGACGTAGATGAAAGGGTTTAAAGTCGACGAAAGCACAGGAAGCATATGGGTAAAAATAAGATAGGTTGCAACGAATACGTCACTATTCCATTCACGAAAACTAGCAAAGCATTCTGGGCACCAGCTTGCGGTTACAGTTAAAAGACAGACGGGCAGCCAACATGTGGTGAAAGCGGCGTAAACTATAGAGACGGTTTTGGCGACTTTGATTTCCCGCCTCCGAATCCTTGTTGCCTTATCAGCGTCCCTCTCGAGTCTCAAAAGTCGCTTGGTGTGCGACTTAACACTGTGAAGAATTGCCACTTGCAGGCAGCCCATGATGAAGAGCGGTATGATGAAGACGGCGACCCAAACAACGGTCCAGTAAATTGGGTTGTCGTTGAAACAGGTACGTATCGTTGGCTTTTCATGAATTGTCACAGCTGGCAAATCGGGTTTCTGCCAATTAAAGCTGCAAAGAGCGCTCCAGATAATCGCATAGGCCCATACAAGGACAATCAGCATGTCTATTCGTCGGCGAGACAATATGAAATGGTTTTCAAACGGAAATATCATAGCGACGAATCGCTGAATGCTGATTACAAGGAGATGCGTTACCGACGAGCAATTCGCTAGAATATCAGAATAATAGAAAAACCAGCAAACTTTTATGTCCAAACAGAACTGTTGATTATGCAGGCCTGCATGTAGCTTAATTGGCAAGGAAAGAACTGAAACAAGAACATCGCTAACAGCTAATGAAAACAGCAAATGAAAAACAGATTGCGAGCGTAGTTTACGCGACCTGATAATCACCAAACAGACAAATACATTGCCAAAAAACGCCGCTACCATCACTATAACGAGATACACCGAGTAGAATACATTCAATGCTTTCAGCGGTTGCGAACACGAATTGTGAGTGATGTTTTTCGCAAACGTACTATTCGGTGTTAAGGATTTATTCAAGGGACATTGGTCCAATATGTACGAATCATTAGTGATCTTTCGTTGCCTTTGTCCGGTATTATCATGTATAAGTAATAGGAACACGAGAAGAGCGATTCTTTGATGCACGGCCATATTTTCCTCTTTGACAGTGGACTTAAGCTGCTCCAGTCTGCGATGGTGTTTTGCGATACACAGATGAACTAAAACCAACTATAAACATTTGAAACAAGCAGATAACCGCCGTCGTTCTAGCTTATCGAGACAGACTTCGTGGTAACTTGAATACCTGGTTAGACGCGCTGTTGATGTACGGCTATGCAGCAACGCAGACACATCTTCTTCCTTTCATTTCGAGCGAATCGAAAGCTACCCCCTTTGATTAACTCCGAAGGAACAAACACAACTTTCCATGTGGAAAAGCAAGAAATGGTTGATCGCCACTGTCAGCACTGCTTCGCAGATGTTAGTGTATCATATTTGCTCTGATTAACTGCTGCTTTGATTTCAATATTGCTTCTATCCTGTTGACGTGCCGCTTTTGGCTGCAGATGTTGTTGGACCTCGTTTAGATAAAATATTAGATTCAAAGTAAATAAGCGATCTTTTCCTTCGCTTATCTATCTGCTGCTTAAGAGCATTAGTTTCAAAAGCGTACAATATACTGTTTAATCTCTGAATTTTGCCACAAAATGTAGGACACGACACAGAATGGCAAACTCAATAATCCCAGACTTGGTGCTGCCACACGCTGCTATCAAACGAGTTTAAATTCTTCTTTTTCCACGATTCACGAAAATGATCAAAGAATCTTGATACCCTAAGAAAAAAAATAAAGGATCAGCTATGAAAAACACTGTCCTGTGGATGAATAATTTAATTACGGCAACAAATGACTTCTTAATTTAATTCAAGATTGAAATGCTTCCTTAATCCTGTAGAAAAATAGCATTACTGAATGTTACTATAAAAATTTTTTTTGAAATTATTACGGCTGAAAATCTGCCACTCTTCACAGAACCACTTATCTAAGGTAAACCAACTGCAGAATGATTTGACAAGTTCTAAATCCAAACGTAAACATGAAAAAAGTTATCAAATATTTAGTTGAAGAAATAAGGTTTTGATTTTGAAATACAGAGACTATTCCATTTTTATAATTTGCTTGTAATCTTCTAGAGTGCGTGTTTATTCAATTTATTAAGATTTAGATGCAAAAGAAAGTTGGAGTGATGAAAGCAGATTGGGTCCATGTCGACTTCAAACTTCCACTTCATTTGCATTGATCGCACAGATCACTCTTGGGCATTTCATTTTAAGGTCACCGAAATTAACGAGGATTGGATACGAAAATGTTTTAGAGGGTTTTGTTTTGGAAAATCAGTGCGAGAATAAATTATCTTGTTAAATGGCACCTGTTATACGACGCCGTCGCGTATTGCGTCATGCGTCACGCCTTACGTTTTCTTGTTCAGAAATCTAGATCTCTGTTATAGCAATAACTGCTGATTCTAAAGTAGAGTTAAAAACTTCAGATAGAAAAGCGGCCAATTCGAAATAAATGTCAAAGAAAAAGGAAATAAACATAAGCTTTTTAGCAGTGTACAAAGAATGTTTGGACGTATTTGCAAAAAATTTAGACAACAACTTTCGGAAACGTTGTTTTTGAATTACATCTGCAAATATGCCAAAACTTACTGAAAGTTTATGTTGATTATTTATGAGCAGCTAAGGGTAACTATAATCGGACAAAAACTTTCGGGCAAAAAACATTCGGAAACGTTGTTTTTGAATTACATCTGCAAATATGCCAAAACTTACTGAAAGTTTATGTTGATTATTTATGAGCAGCTAAGGGTAACTATAATCGGACAAAAACTTTCGGGCAAAAAACATTCGGAAACGTTGTTTTTGAATTACATCTGCAAATATGCCAAAACTTACTGAAAGTTTATGTTGATTATTTATGAGCAGCTAAGGGTAACTATAATCGGACAAAAACTTTCGGGCAAAAAACATTCGGAAACGTTGTTTTTGAATTACATCTGCAAATATGCCAAAACTTACTGAAAGTTTATGTTGATTATTTATGAGCAGCTAAGGGTAACTATAATCGGACAAAAACTTTCGGGCAAAAAACATTCGGAAACGTTGTTTTTGAATTACATCTGCAAATATGTTAAAACATACAGAAAAAGTTTGTAATAATTGATATTGAGCAGCTAAAGATAACTAAAAAGTAGTAATCAAAACTCAACAAAAGGACAAAATAAGAGCAGCGAGAAAATCTTCGCAAACTTTAGAGCGGATTTTTGAATGTTTTTATAAAAAGTGAGACAGGTAGTTGGACCAGCATTCACAAATCCATGTAGAAACTACCTCATAATCCTTATAACGCATGGATAAAAGCAATAGCTAATAAACTTTCATTAAAATAGTCTGGAAAGAATTTGAAGCTAAGAGATTTTAAAGCAGCTGTTAGGAAGCACTGTTGGAAATGAAAAAATGAAAAAAAAACATAATTAAGCTTGTGGGCGATCTAAAATGATCTCGCGGGCCGGATATAATTACAGATTGGGACATCTGCCTACAACGGAAACTTCTTTATAATGGACCTCTCCTTACAAAGGATACCTTCCTACAGCGGATATCTTCAAAAAAACGGACAATTGCTCTGGCTCCACGAATGTCTACTTCAGGGCAGTTCCATTGCACTTCAGGACTGAGATACAAGAACAGGCAGTGCTTTGTGAAATCAGATTTTCAAATCTGTCACACAGAAATTGTATACCAATGAATTTTATGGTATTAACAAGTGTGTTGGACAGTGCATGACATCATATAGCTGTACACGCTTTGAAATTCAGAACAGAAAGGTTCTAAGTCGTTACTCCGGCCATCAGCTTTATTCGACATCTCACAACCACCGTGTTTGGAAGACGAACCAGCATATTTCCCAAAGTCTGTTGGCTTTCAAATTTTTGCAACATAGGCACTTGCGCAGTTAAAATCAACGACGACATGTTCACATCTACGTGTCTTTTATGAAAACAAGGCAGTCTCGAATAAAAAGACGAATAAAATTAAGATAAAAGAATTTTCAAGAAGAGTGAGAACAAAGCTCTGGTTTATATGATGAAACTATGATATGTAACAATTTTGATTAAATGCTGTAAAGAGCCACAAAATGTAAATTTTGCCTTCGTCCTAATGCGCATGTGCTTATGATACAGTTGTTCATTGGTTCAGACAAATGGATAAAACGATGGCCCAAAAGAAATACAGACTCGTCTCCCAACAAAACCATGACATTTTAACGAACGTTGAGGGTCATTTCCACGACATGTAAATAAATTCATCAATCGTGAGAGCAAACAAATTCTAAAATCAGTTAGCATTCTTTCAAGCTAGGACAGTCTCCATGCACAACCTACCTATCATGTAGGACATGCAGTGGCAGAAAAGGAAAATTAGAAGGATCTAGGGACTTTGTCTTGTTTAGGAATTCTGCTAGAAATGGTTCTCTTTTCTTTTAATTTAACAGTGTATCAATAGGCATGGTTTGGCCCATATTGTTCGATTTGTACCCCCCCCTCCCCTAACCTGTTCTCTAAAAGTTATCGCTAAGACCTGAGTGATATCCGAAAAAAGAAGGAATAGCGTAAGAAGGAAGAAACGCAGGATTTGCTGTCCGCCGGATTCTGTGAATCTTGCAATGAGTAATAATACGAATAATAGTCAAACAAAGTAACACGACGGCGAGAATTCAATGTAGTGAAATAGAATTTTAAAATATATAAAATTTAATAAATGCTAATATTTCGCCCCGGCAAACAGGACTTCATCAGCGTCAAAAAGAAGCATATCTTATTTATTTCGCAGAACAAAAGTAACAATTTCAAGAAAGTAAAAAGTTCTACTTCTTGGATTGATGCGAAATCAGCCCCGAGTAAGCACGTTTACTTTGTCAAATATTTCAGTTTAGGTAGGAAAAAAAAACCAGGCATCTAAATTAAAAACAATCAAGATATTGATTGCACGCTTTAACTTTAATGCAAAGGTGATACGAGAATAACTATATTATTATGAAAACAGAACAAACCTGAACAAAGGACATATCGCGACTAACAGTGGCCTAATCAAGGCTAGGAACACGTGTAGAACACTCTTGCCATATGCTTCAACGTACGTATGGACACAAGCACTTTGAGAAGGCAAAGATATAAGCGATGAAGAGTAAACAACCTTCAAATCGGGTGTATGACGAAATAAAGAATAAATAGAGTCCACACATGGAGCAGTTTATAGAAATGACCCTCAAAGGAATAATGGTTTGAAGCGGACGCGGTGGTGGCGACAATGTGCATACGAAAGAACAATAAACGGTTATAGGTTATTGGTTGGACTCATACCTAAATATACCCAGCCGTAAACACGGCATATTCATTCAAAAACATATGTTTTTGTAGAAAGAAATAAGACATGCACTCTGGCGCAAAAAAAACACACACACTAAACCACGCATAAACTCTGTTGAATTGAAAGTAGTAAAACAAAATCTATGCGGGTACATCGAAAGGACAGATGACTTGTATTGAATGGTTTTGAATTTCTACATTTAAAATCAATTTTTCTATTTTGTGAGCCACTGCAAGCCAGTTTTTCTTTGCTGACGGGGCAACCTTTTAAAAATAATTAAAAATGAAAATTGAGTGAAATAAGCTCTAGGTCTTCGCAAGCGTCTTCTATAGTGCAACATTATACCGTATAAAAGTTTACCGTACAAACACACAGAGTACGTTGTTTTTAGCTCTGATCAAATGCATCAATAACATCACTTGCAACAAAATTCTCGAAAACGGCCTCTTGTTGTTCTCTACACAATACCGATTAGTTAGTCTAGCGAGTCACATGTTGCGATGGTTCTCCTAGGGCGGGGATAATATATATTTTTACTGATGATTATGATTAAAACAAAAAGGCTATATAATTTGAAAGAATGATTGAATACAGGTCGCGCATTTCGCCAACAAACACGTTAAATCGTCGTTACAGAAACGAAACCTTTTCAGGTCTTCAAACGAAAACGCACCAGATTGCATCGCACCCACGATCTCTGGCAACACCAACTCCATCCTTGGGTTTCGTTCGAGTAAAGGCCTCGTTTGCATTTTGCGGGCTAAAAATTTGCGGACCATTCTGTGAACATGCCGATTGGGACAAAATTTAATTTGAAAATCTCATCAAGCGATCAGCGGAAATCTCATCAAGAAGTTGTGCAAATATTCTGGTAAAGATACTAGGAATGTCATGAGGAAATGAATATATGATATCTTATGAAGAACTTTTGTTGTAAAGAGAGGTATATCCTAATCTTGATGATATATCAAACTTTGATGATATTTTAAAGTCTTCATAAGATTCTATTCCGTCCTAAAATTTTGGCCCATTTGAAACCCAATAAATATTAAACCTTGGTGTTCTGTGGAAGATCGATTTTTTTTTCTACATGGCATCATTAAAGAAACAACAAACAATAGAAATTTCAGAACGACACTGGAAGAATGACAGAGAGAGCGGCCATATGCTTAACAGTCTTGCGGGTATGAAATGATAGAAAAATTTGTCGGTGAAGTCGGTGAAGATAATTACATAGTATATCACACCAGATTTTCAGATGTGGATAGGCATCATTTTCACAACAACAAAAACAATAAATTAAGCCCAAATTACTTCTCGTAACTATACATCATCAAACTTCAGACCAAGATATAGCAGATGCAACTATCTTTAAGTTACTTTTGATAAGAGTGTGAAATC